AAGTAATACGTTTTGCATTTATAGACTTCGATAGACAGTGTTAAAAGTGGTCCAATCGTTTATTGGCATCGATTCCTTGCACACAAGAGCAAATAGAAAATTGGATCGTTCCTTTTAACACGATAAGCGGTGCCCCGTGGCGAATACTATTTGTTTCTAGTCTATCAGACAACCGGATTTACTCTCCGAGAATATATTTCTCTTACTCTCTTCGCTTTTGCTTCATCCTGTTGCAACGCACTGCAGTAAAGTGAATTTTCTCTGCCTGCGCTCTCTAGTTTAGCGAGGAAAATTAGATCTACATGAAATAGAATGGGACAAATTCTACAATCAACTCTTCATTGATGCTCACTAGATTACAAATTACTGGAAAAATTACTGGAAATCATTTAATTAATTGTCTTCCATTTCAGTTCTCTCTGCTATTGAGCATTAATTCTAATTTTCATGTTCATCGTTTTTAGATAGTAAAACTGAAACATGAATGTAATTAAAAATATTATTTTATCTCGTAGTTCAATGTTTATCGTCGACACTGGGAATAATTTGCTCTAGATGCTGGAGTATTATCAACAGAGGTCAAAATTACCAATTGATTTTATGGGAGGATTTTTATTACACAGACAGTTGATAGTCAGTCTTATTTGTTTGTTTTTTAATTACAAAAACAGATAAAATTGATCGCTAAAATGTTCGAGTATTTTAAAATAAAAGTTTTCTTGAAAATAAATGAATAAATTTCCCATAAGGACCTTTGGCATAGAGAGATAAAGAGTTGTCTTTAAGAAAGCCATGTCTCTTTTAGTATTTTCTTCTAGTTAATCTGAAAAGAAATAGTTTATTTTAAATAATTTGAAAGCCTCAAGAGAAAAGGGTTTGAATTGGCTTAGCTAGAATAAATAAGAGTAAAAATGATGAGGGCTTAGAGGAACTAATTAGCAAGTTTTTGCTGAGATAAACAAATGTCAAGTGTGGAGGTATTTGAGGTGAAATACCTAAGTCAGTTGGACTGGAATGGCGGAGGCAAGAAGAAAAGGCTTGTAGATTTAAACGAGCTTATACGGGTGCCATAACCCCGTATTTCAACGGCAACCCTCGAGAGATTCGCATGTAAATTGCACATCTTGGATAACAGAAACATATTTCGTTGGACTAACAGCAGACCCGTTTGAATATTTTGGTCTCCTTATATGGCATGGGACAAGTGCGCAATTGTGCATCAGAGTAACATATGAGGGACGATATAATGTCGCGCCAAATATACGCTCTCTGGTGCTGGTGGTGTTAGTACAGTTCGATGAGACAGAAAGAAAAATGTAGAATGATCCAATCGGTTGGAAGATGGGACGAACATTCAAGTGTCTCAGTATAACAAAAGAATCACGAGGAGTAACCCCGAGTTTTATAGTCATCTATAAAGTAATGCGTTTGCTTCGCAAAACTTTCGGAAAACTTTTATGAAGTAGTTTAGAAATCAAAAGCGATAAAGTAGGTCACATTTAATGAATCTATTATTTAGATACTCTTAAAGATTCTTACGGATACTTATCGATGATGATCATAGAGTGACCAAGAAATGAGAATAGACGTTTTGGTAGCTTTAAAACGTGATATGAATATTGAAATTCTCATTATTCCTGAGTATTTCCCTTCTAAAGTAGACAGAGAGTAAGCGAACGCTTGTCCGTAGATATAATTTAAAGTTTCTCAACTAGTTTGGCTTGATTATAAATGTATTCTCTACTACCAGACATTCAACTAGATGCTGGACCTTGGATCGTGCTCCAGCGACGAATGTTATGCATTTTTAGTGAGCTTGAAAACTGCTCGTGGAAACTAATGCACGTCCTCATACCTATTTACCATACCTCACGATCATATGTATGTACACAGCCATATCTATATTGGCATTTATCAAAAATATTTCATTATAAATTTCAAGTAAAACTTTATGACATTTCCAACTTGGTAATTACTCTGCTTGTTCTAACCTTGGATGGTTAAATGACGTATTATGAAGTATTTGTGACAGTTAATGTGCTCTCTGTTCTGGGATTAAATAACTAGTAATATTGCTGCCAAATTATCTAACATTAAATTAAACTTTATTTTATTAAAAATTCTTAAATAAAATTAACAATCAGTACTACCTGCTATCTATATTTATTTTCATTCAAATATATATCTGTTGAATATCAAACAATTACCATTTATTAATTTATTATATTTTATATTCCAAACAATTACAGTAACTGATCTCTTGTATTTTTTATTATTTTTTTATCTATAAAATGATAAAATATAAATACAAGCATACTGGTAAATAACAAACAACAATGTTATTATCAGAGATGATTTAACTTGAGTTATTAAACAATGTAAGTTGAAACTTGTTTTTTGTTTCATTCGCCACAGTCTTGAATATTTCAAGTTTTAATAACAATATTAAAAATAAAATAAACTGCACATAAAAAACATGAAAAGTACTCTAAAATCTAAAACTCTGTCTCTTGAGAACTACAACTCTTGATAAAGATTTTACAACTTTTTTTTTGCAAATGAAAAAACGATTTTCCACCCCTTCAATATTATTTTTGATAACATTGTATATTTAATAATTCAACCAAAGTGAACATTTTCCATTGTGTTATTTATTGACATTAGCTCTTGTAAAAATATCCAAAGTTGAAACCTATTAATTCTTGACCGAATAAAATTGTGATAGTAATAAGTGAATGGATTTTATAGAAATATTGTGATTTTAAAATAAAAGCAATCCCTTTGGTTATTTTTAAAAAATTAATAATGACATAAACAAAATTGAAATTGTTTATAAATATTATTATTGATTTATAAATATTGTTTTATCTGTATGCATCAAGTATGGTCATTTAATACTGGATGATACAAAATGTTGATCCATGTTCGCGTTTTTTCAGTGTAATTAAATTATATAATTTCATTGGTGATTAAAGATCTCGGATTTGTTATAAAATCCATACATCATTTCAAATGAGTGTTAAATGGAAGAGATATGGAAACCATTTTATCTAAATTAATCATTAATTTACAACATATAATGATATGGTAATAATTCAACGAGCCTGACGAATTAGTTTAAAATAAAATACTACCGGGATTATTTATATCAGTTATTTAATTTTCTTTTAGAAGTTATTTTTTATTACAGTCAAATACCTTTCTCTACACGACCATAAGATAAAAGCATATTTTTCATTAATGACTATTTTTTTTCTCTTTCTCATTAAATTTATTTTTCATATAATTCATTTACTTCATAACTGCTCTTCACTGTTGTTAATCCAGACTCTTTTTATCTTTTTTAGGGGTTGAAACTTTTGATCAATTACCCTAATTTCTATTTTTTTAAACAACTTCTCTCCAATGGACTTCAAAAACCCTATTTCTCTGCCCCTCTCTTATTTAATAAATAAAGAAAATATGTCGATTCTTCCAGGAATTTGGTTGTATATCATTTCAACCCGTTTCGTCACAGCAATATTTTATTCTTGTTGTTCGGCCATCTGGAAAATTGGAATACAACTCGGTATTGGTTAGGTATGCCAATAACTTCTACAACTGTCCTATTGCAAAAGGGAAAAATATAAATAAAAAATGTACAAGATAGATAAGGGGAATACACTAAAATTCAGAGAAAAAAAAAAGTGAAATAGAAAAACAGATGATATAGACCGTTTTTTTTGTAAAACTGAGATAATAATTTATCGACCAAAATACATGCATTGCTGTACAGAATGATGTACTACTGGTAAAGCAAATCAACGCAAATGAACGCATATATTGATGCCAACGTGGTAGACTCATATTCGAGAATGAGTGATAAATTTTTGACTTGCTGCAGGCTCCGACCAAAGCTTTTCAATGTGATACGAAAGCGTCTACCACTGTCATCATGTAGATTCTACAGGTGTGAGATTTATCAGGATTTTTAGAATATAGTTTGAAAAAAAAAAATAAAGCCTGCTTTGGCAAATATATTAACATTTATATTTTTAATTCTCAGTTCATTCAATCGTGCCATATTCTTTTATAATAATAACGAAAAAAAAATCTACGATGCCAATGTAAATACACTCACTCCGAGTAATGGAATAAAAATGGTTTTAATACAGATCTCCAGTCGAATTTTATCTAGAGTATTTTACAGCAAAAAATCTTCATAACAACTGAGAAAGTTTGGTACACTGAAACTTTTATTTTCTTATTCATAAATGAACTTGTAAAAGATATTTTTTCAACTTATTTGACTTAGTAGTAATTAATTATTTAAATGATATTTTCTTCAATATTTATTTATCATTTGTTATCAGATGTAGATGATATTATAGAAGTAGGTTAATTAAAAATTTTAAGCAACATTTCAATTATATAAAACATAGTACAGAATCTAGCAAATACAAAAGAATATTTAAAAATAAAATTCTCCACAAACCTTAATAGTGTTTGTGAAAGTTTGTTTTCATTGCATTCTCTCACATTCATAATGACGTTGGTATAAAGTTTTATATTTTTATTTATTGCCATGAAAAGTTTGGAGTGAATAAAGAAATTCAGCCTAAAATAAAATGTTGGTTTATATAATTGAAAAAAAAATAAATAAATAAAATATAAACTAAATAACAAATAGATTTATTTCAGCCTACACTATTTTCTCATAAATCGAAATTGTATTTGAGGAAAGTCGCAACTGTCTTACTTATACTTTCAACTTGTTTATTCAGAACGTGTGATTGTCAGAAAATCCTTTTCCTGTTCTCTTCACCAATACGTAAGATAATACCAGCTCCACTACTTGCTATAAAATGATATTGAGATTCGCGAAAGCAAAGGAATGTATTTCCAAAGAAAGTTATCTCGAGGAGTCTGGCATTAATACGAGAATTTTCTTATTGCTTTAGAAAATTGGACAAGATTGACTAAGACGATAAGACTTGAAAAGTGAACTAAATTCTACTCACCGCTATATTAACTGCAATTTTGTTTATTTCGTTGTTACTCTGATAGTGGTAATAGCCGTTTTCGTTGATTAAAAGCTTTCTACATTGACTACTTGAGTTTTTTCAACAGCTTAATTGATCCCAATCGTTGTTTCCGCGTTCCGATGACCCGGAATAACGCCTGGAGTCTGTACTTTACCCCTTTCCAATTGTGACTCCACAACTATTCGGACGTTTACTTCTGTCTTCCACCATCTGTACCACGGGACAACTTGTTCCTGTTCAAAAAGTTCCACTACGAATTTAAAGTCATTCGAAACAGCCACACGATGTATTTTAGGAATTTTGAATCGAGCTATTAATTTTGATGGAATTCGATGAATAAATTAGCTCTAGTATACTATAACTTTATTAGAAATTAAAGTAAAAAATGAATTTTCGTAATATTTATTTATGCAAAGTCTTATTATTAATTTTGTGCTGGTATTTTTTAATAAAAAAATAAACAAAGAAAAATTTAATAAAATATTCTTACAGTTTATTATTCAAAAACAAAATGAATATTTTGGTCGCTTATTAAAATGTATTAGGTAATAAAAAAAAATCTGTTATGAGTAGAAAAAAAAGTAAGCATCACACAGTTTACTAAAATGATTTATCTTGGTTATATTAGTTTTTTTCTTGGAACTATTTGAAATTAGACAAAACAAAAATTTAAATTATTCATGAAGTTGTTTATACCAAAAACTAAATAGGAAAAAGTTTATAATATAAAATGGTTTTCTTATACCGTCAAGCATTTTAAATTTGACTCCAAAGATGCGACAGTTGTACTAGACAGATATGATAATAACTGTATTTACTGGAGATGCATTTTTATAGCTATTTAAATGGAAGAAAAAATTCTACTCTTAGAAAATAACGCTAGTGAAAGAAATCTAGTCACAATGATTTTCAATAGCTGAGTTTCATCCATTTGCTTGAATTTCTGGTCTATGTACTTGAATGAAGTTTAAACTCAATAAATACTGTGTAACTCTTAGCATTCACTGTTTCACATCACTAATATAATTCAATGAAATTCAGTATACATCCAATTCAACAAACTGACTTCTGATCTAGAATTGCAGTTAATCAAAAAATTCTTTCAATTTATATTAATGTTCATTCTTGTCTTTCATCTCCATATAATTTTAACTGCAGCTACATTTCTCGAATCAAGTGATTTATTAAAGCATAGAATTTGTAGCTTCAAAGACTGCACAAAATTAATTGCACTGCTCCTCCGTTACATACACTAACTGATTGAAGATGGTTTACGAACATCTCAACACTTGTAAACCGTCATAAAACAAATAGCAACTTACATGATACTTGAGAAATAATTTCAACAAGTTCCAATTGTATCTACTCCACACTTCACACAGCTTCATTAGGAAAATGACAACTATTGAACTGTGGTTGATGCTTTTCAATAAAGATCATAACGTGTAATAGTAGACAAAACTATTTCAATTGCTCTCAGCATATTCATGAGTATCATGTGTATAAATGAATTATTATCATTTTCCATTAACTGATCACTAACAATGAAATGTTATTCTAAAAACTTTTTGTCACCAATTACCACTTACTTTTATTTTTCTTTCCATTCATAAACAAGAAAATATGAGACTGCTGAAACATTGTATTCCAGCCAATTAAAACAAAATAGTTAAAGTGGTTGTGAAGATACATAAAAGGTGAGATGTTGATGAAGTTGATAGTATCAGTCAAGATGATCATTACTAAATATGATTAATGAATAATTTTTCAAATGACATTGGAAGTGTTCAAATTACTTTTTAAGAATGTTTATAACATCTTGAAAGCTTACACCAGAAAGAGATGTTGGTACTTTCAATTTCAAATCTCAGATCCATTACTGTAACTTTCTTATATACAGGAAAGTTAATAGAGATACAAGACAAATTACAATGGCAAAGCATCATTAGATAAACTTTAAGTACTATCAGATGGAGTCATGACATTATTAACTTTCCTCCAAGTTTCATTGCATTTTATGAACATTACGTTCTGTTTTCTTATACCGTATATTTCTGAGCCATTTTATCATTCTTCTTTTGCCTCAACTTTTCATCTTTTATTCCACGATAAAGTTTGAAAATTAACATTTTCAGGTTCAAATTGCTAACTCTCAAAGGTCTCACTGACCACTGGATGAAATCACTCTTGAAATTACGTGAAATCCCATTACACCTCTACAATTATACATGTCAACTAATTTTCTGGATAATTACGTGAATTTACGTAATTATAACTGTACCATAGAGCTTAAAAAAAGCTCGGTAAGATTTTCGAGAATTATTTTGTTAAAGTCGTCGTATTTACAATGTGAAGGAGTTGTGTTGGAATTGTATAACAGTAATAGGATTATCATGCTATGGATACATCAACTTAAATACGAAAACTTATTTATATTTAACAGACGTTATTAATTTTTTTCTTTCTTCTTTAGCAAAAGAAATCTCTATTTACAAATTAATTAATTTTTTTAATCAACATCTGAATATAGCTGACAGCTTCAAACTTTAAGAAAGTAATTTTCAAGTTTAAAATATCAATCACAAGCATTTCAATGTTGTAAATATTCAAAACTTTATGTCGAAAAGAGCAATTTTATCTGAAGGAATTTTTTTATAAAATGTAAACTTCTTATATTACATTACTCACTAGTTGAATTTTCGTTCTTTTGAAAAATCCTTATGACATTCGAGAAGCATTCTCCTGGACGAGAATCAATACCAAAAGTTCAAATTTTCATGATTCTCTTTTTTAGATATCTGAGTTGTCATTTACAACAGTCTGGTATTACATAAAATTTCAAATTTTTCATTAAAATACAATTACAAGAGGTATAGTGTCAAAAAAATTAGTTATTGACAGATTTATTTGTTGAATGCAAATAAATATTTCCATCGAGGAAACACAATTCTCTCAAAGTTGATAAATTGATCAATTCAATTTAATATATAAATCCATTCACTGCATGTATTTTAACGAATATTAATCTATCAATTGTTAATTAAATTTTTGGAGATTGGTTCATCAATAGTCTCAACAAAAAAAAAGTTGGTGAGATCCAATAAATCATGGTAGATGTTGAAGCAATTCAAGAACTTTTTTAGCTCTCCAACTTTTTTCTTTCATCAAGAACATTAGAAAAGTCGTCGTAAAACTATCAACAATGATAATAAGCTCCATACTAGGATCAACGAGTCCCAGACTAGGAAGTTTATTAAAAAGAACGAAAAATATTGTACAATAATTTTCAATCCTCTGAATCAGGTCAGAAAGGAATTGATGCAATGTTAATAAATGACAGTCAAATGTTTAAGAAATATGTCGTAAAAGAATGTTACATATTATATTAATGATTTATACCTTGACAAGAAGATAAACTGTGAAGCAGTATCCAAGGATGACAATGGCAAGAAAGAAACATATAGCACCACGAGTCCACAGTCTAGATATACCGATTTTTCTTCCTTCAATAATAAAATACTTCATCCCTGAAACATGTTTTCATCTGTACGTCTTTTTTTTTTTATTATTTATTTTATTCATTTCTTCAACCGTTCCATGTGCGTTCATGTAGTATCATAATCCAATAACCACTGTGTCGAGAGAAATCGAAATTGTACTTCTCGTTTAACCATTCAATATCAATGCAACTAGTAAATTTTGTTCAATGGTTGAGTCCAAAGGCAGAAATTCGAAACAAAAACAAGAATAGAATTCTCGTTCATTTGTAACGAATGAGTGCTCAATCTGACGATTGTGATACTACATGAGACACTAACTAAATTTATCAGTTATTGTAAAAAAAAAAAAAAAACTAAAAAATAAAATAAAAAATATGCATATTGATCAACTTATTCATAAGAAATTTAGCAAAATGAAAAAACAATCTCAATCTCATTTTAATTTTTTTTAAATCAATTCATTAAATGCAATTTATTTGATGACTTTCATTTAAAAATGCTTCTCAAACATTCAAATCCACCTAAATCCTAAGAGTAAATTCAGCAGAATAAAATGAATAAAAGTAAGACTTGGTAATTATTTCCAGTGTTCCAGTAACTTCAGTATTTACCCAAAGTAATTTGAAAAAAAAATCTTAAAAAATACCTAGCAAACAGACAACTGTCAGTCCCACAACCACGACAGTCAGTAGAATAAAAACTATGAGATCAGATTGTGCATGTTGACGATTAGGAGGATAATTCATCCAAATCCTCAATGATTCCCTCCTGCAAAAGAAAAATATATAAACTGATAAACAAATTTACTTGATTAATGACTAAAGTAAGCAGCAGGATATTAGAGAAGAAAGGAAAATATATAGAAGAAGAATTAAAGAGAAATCAAATTCTAATTTAACTCTTTCACCTTCTCTCTTTCCTATCGTCGAGGTGTTAAACTCGTTCGCGACTTCGATCAATCTTCTATGTGAACCACACGGTACGTACCGTTTACCGCTTAACGGAGCACGAACAGAGTCTGATGGCCTGGTAGATTCCACTGAGCTTCAAAATCTCAAGCTGAGACTTTCGAGCCGTGGATTGCTCCTCGACAAATTACCTCCGGTTTACAAGCGTGTCTTGCAGGCTTTCTATACTTTCCTCTCTGTTGCTCTTTATACTCTTTTGTTTCTTATGTAATTACTCACCAACGATAACGAGGAGTCTCTATAACATTAAAGCGATAGGAGCAAAGCTCACAGTGGTTACGGCAGGTTTGGTTCAACCATCGCTCCAAACACGATATATGCACGTACGCCAAAGATCCCTTGCAACTAAAACATCACAATAATTCAATATTCATTAAAACATCATATGAAATGTTTATTAATTAACGAACTAATTAAAAAGGAAAAACAAAATAGAATTTAAGAAAAATGTTTTCCATTCCAATATTGTTCAATTTATTATGATACACTCTCATGTACATAACTCATATTTGTAGCTCATATATCGAACAATTTATGCTCTCAGTATTCTACTGACAACTAATAATCTTCCTCAATCAGCTTGATAAAGCTATAGGATTATTGAAATTTTCAAGTAACAAAAGCAATTGAATATTTTCAAACCTCGAGGGCAATTAAATACAAAGCTGAAAGCTCTCTGGTGTAAAGCAAAGCCTTTAAAATGCAACGATACTATTTTAAATGTAAAAAGAATTTTAATGATCTTCTGTGTAGGATTTTACTTTTTTTCCGTCTCATTATACATCGAATCATTTCTTTCTGTTTATCTGTTCTAACTGAAATGCTGCACACTAAACCAATTAAATTAAGATTAAGTTCCAGAGGTGATTTGTGCCATTTTACAGTGCTTTTTGTAATCTTATTACAGGCATCTATAGTGTAAGGTTGAACGATGAATCACAATCTTGATGCATTTATAAAGAAATGTTTGATTGAAAGACTACTTTGTATGTGGGATTTGCATTAGTGCATTTATGATCCTTTTTTCTTGAGAAGATTATTGATGATAAACTCGATGATTCACTTGACGAATTACTCCGGTTTATAGTTCAATATGACAATTCTATCAAACTATTAAGTTGAATTAACTTTGATTCACGGAAATGACAATGCAGATATTCGGGATAGGATTGAAAGCTCTTAGCAACTTTGCACTATGTATTGAAATGCATGAAAGCAGATTCATTGCAATTTAGATGTTCCGCTCATACTTTGAAGATGTTTTAATATTTCATTTAATAGAACTAGTATTGAGAGATTCCTTTTTTCGATGGAGAGTTAACTTTCTTTATTATAAAGATATTTTTTAATCAAATGTCTTAATCTGATAATTTATTTTTTAATTTTCTCATTTAATTTCAAGTCTTTGTGTTGATTTCAAAAATTCCTTAGAGCTGAGAAAAAATATTTTACACAGATTATGTCGAGAGTGAGTGTAAGAGATGATGTCTGGAAGCACAAATGTTAGTATGGTCGAGCAAAAAGTAATAAAACACGAGATGGAAGGTCTCGAGGAGTGATTTCGAGTATAAATGAGTCTTGAGGAGTGCAGTTGAGCGAGTCAAGAATGAGTGGTTGAATGGGAGACAGTGTTAACTAATTTTGTAGAGAAAACATAATCTTTTTATTTAATTGCTATCATTACTCATTACACATTTTCTATTTTTATTCTTACTTTTTTCTTAACAATTTCTTTCAATTTAATTTTCCAGTTCTAAAACTTTTTTTTTAAATAGATACGAAAATTTTAATTTTACTCCACTTGTAATAAAATAGTATATCAAAAGTGCATTTATGCATTAGTTTAACAAATGTTCATCATTAAATATTATTATACTGGAAAAGTTTTTAATTTAATTCTTACGACTCATTTGTTTTTTCTAATATTTTAACACCATTTCTTTTGCCAAAAAATATGGAAAAAAAGATCTAATTATTTACATAATTTTTTTGTTGTTTTTTTCATTCAAAACTTTGACGTTTGAAAGTTAAATAATTACTCAGTGAATAGCAAAAACAAATTTTCCGACTAATTGTAACTAAATATTGAAGTGAATGTAAGAATGAATTATTTGAGGTGAAAAAACAGTCGTGAAACATGGTAGTTTACATATTCTACATTCAATTATCTAAAATTGTCATTGACAATGTTTGTACAATATTTCTAGAAGTTGACTAGAATGGATGAATTGCAAATTAGTAATATAAAACGTCAGAGATGTAGAATGAGGTATCTGTACGTGAAGTAAACGATAGATAACCGAGGCAATTTTTTTATGCAAATCATATAAAAATAAAATTCTTCAAAACATGATGGCAACAATTGCACCTGCGACAACCATTGCAATTACATGTTACGGATGTCACATGGATGGAAATGAAACAAATGGTATATAAGGAGTTGGAAGAAGAATAAGGAATAACAGGAAATTGTCATTGGTGCTGCTAAAGCAATAAGAGAGGAAACAAAGAAACCATGCATAGTTAGTCTGTTTGTTCAGTCTGGGTTGAGATTAAAATCGCACGGCATATACGATTAAATTCGATTAAGCCATAGAAATTGCTAGGAAGGTATCATGTAATTGTTGAAGTCGTTAGGAAGAGGAAAAAAAGTATAGGAAAAGAATAAAAGCACCTAATAAAAGTGTTTCAATGGTAATGAACTAACATGGAAGTAGACATGACTCATAAATGAAGATAATCAAATAATAGAAGGAAATGAATGAAATTTGGGAGCCAGTTGCAGTTTACTAATAAAATTTCTAACTTTATCTTCAACTTGTAAGATGATCTATCTACATAAGAATTAAAATATACATCTGAATAACTTTAATATGGAAATATTGATAATGTAAAGACTTGAAAATGAAGTTTTTGTGTATATTATGGCTTTAACATGACCTCTCGTCAATTTAATTATTACTTCATGTTTTATAGAAAAAAAATTCCTTGTTTTATTTGAAATACGACAGTTTTTATATTTTTACTCTCTGAATGTTTCTTGAAAGCTGTTTTTATTAATGTTCCAAAAAACATATATTAACAGAAAATTTTCTGCTGAAATTACAAAATATTGTATCATGTTTTCGACAGACAATTTCACTGTATACAATTTTTTGCTGAATATCATACATTTATTTTTTATTATATTCGAGCTTTATCATTTTGTATGATCACATATGATATGATGTAATAAAATAAGAATGTTATTATAATTACTTTAAAATATATTTATGTTGAATTTATAAAAAAAAACGTGAATTTTTAAAAAACCTATTAAAAATAATTAATAAGAGCCTCTAGTTCGAAATAACCAAACGTAATATAAAAATATCAATCCTAAATATATTTATAAGATTGTTTAAACGTAACTTAATATTTATTAAAAAAAATCTTTCAAGTTTTTTCAAGAAGTTCTAGATGACATTGAGAACTACCAATAAGCTTTCTCAACCTTGAAAAAACTTCACCGGCAGCTAAAAAGTTCAGGTGGATTTCAATATCAAAAATATTAAGTATAAAAGGAGATGTAGAAGTGCAAAAGTAAAGAAGTAAAAAGTAAAAGAGGGATAAATATTGGAATTAAGATACAATGTAAATCATGAATATTATAAATATAATTATAATTTTATACTCTTTATAAAGATCTTGTATCTATTAAAAACCCTGAATATCTGACTTGTCACATTTATTATTACATAAATTGATTATTTTATCAAAAATAATTTATAACGGATATTACATCAATAAAGTTATATTTTGATGAATATTTCATGTAGATCAAACAGATTAAAGATTATGATGGATAATTAAAAAAATTTATAATGAATATAAATATTCAATATATATCATTATAATAAGGAATTTTTTAAAAATAGAAGCATGGAGACAAAAATATGAATCCTCTATAAAAATAAATACTGTCAACTCACATATTATTATCATCTCCTCGAAAAGTTGCCAGTATGAAAATCTGGAGTCTCCTACTTAAAATTTCAGTCTCTTGAAAATGTCAAGATTAATACAGCTTAAGCTACAGATAGTACATTACAGGATCATAAAATACTCTTCAATATTTATAATATATTCAAGTATGTAGGACTTAAGCATCGATGTAATATACGAGTTCATTAACCTATTTATTCTCATTGGTATGCTAGTGTATTAATAATTCACGCAAGAGTAAAGTAAATATCTTCAGATAAAACACATTACACACGCTGTCATGGTGTAATGAAAAACTTTCGCTTACATGTTACATGAAAAGGTGACTGTAATAAAGGTAAATCTTATAACGTCGTTGATGCTTGTATGATGTACTCTTCTGCTTCGCATTTGCACTTACGTTAAAATGAAAGAGGAAAAGTGCTTGCCTAGCTCTCTTATATGCTGTTGCTTGAGTTATCCTTTGACAAGCATTTCCGACAGCATACCAAGCACTCGTCACGATGAACAAGCTTCTTTCTTGTCTTTTAAGGATACCGATTCACAGACAAGCTATGATTTTATATCACAACTAAGTAAAAGAGGTATCAAATAGTACCAAGTGATTTTTAAAATATTCAAATACATTTATATCTGACTGGTTTTAAGTGATCAATTTATATTTACCTACAGGGTGATATGAGAGCTTCATTAATTCCATTCGCATGATGGCAGATTCGACAAACATGTGAGCACAGTGAAATGAGGCTTTGGTTCAAATGTTGTCCATTCACGTCCCCAGAGCTTTCACTATCTCCATCCCTTGGTGCAAGGAGGTCTGTTAATGCTTGAAGATGATGAGAGGGTTCCACCTTGTCTGGAATTCCTGGAATGAGTCATCAAGAGCCTTAGACTCCGTCGCATAATTCTCCAAACATTTTAGTTATGCTATTAAATTCTTTGTTATTTTTATAAATCTCTATAATTATGATATGTCTAATAATTGAAGTAGTTCGTTCAAGCTTATCATCATTTTTATCACCATCATAAACATTTTTACACACTTGTTATGATGTTATATACAGTATTTCAACTATAAAACATCTCGGTGATGTGAAAAAAATGTGAGATTTTGAAACTTTAAAATTATCTGAAATTTCATGAAATAATTTTATTTTTCATTTTTTTAGACTGCTTGTTAAAATGAAACAAGGATTTTTTTATTCTTTTGTACAAAAAAAATAATTGGATTTTGGTAATCACGATAGAATAGAATTAAAAAAAATTATTTCAATCAAAAAAATACTTCATAACAATCGAAATAAGCCTTTTTTTGATGTAATTTAAATCCATTGTGTTTAAATTTGTAATCCTTTTTACTGCAAAATATTAAAAGATTAAAAAAAATATCTATTCATCAGAATGAAAAGGATGACTGCAAAAATATGCATTCGATTATCTTATGATATCATTACAACCAAAATGAAAATTAATGAATGATTAAAATTTAATTGAATTGGAATCATATCAGCTATAGATAACAAAATAAATCTTAAAGAATTGTTATCTGTATAAAAATCAACCAACAAAAAATTTTTATGGATATAAAATAAAGTGGATGCCTGCACAAGTCATACCACCTAGTACTTAATGAATAAAACATAAGACGTGACAGCTTATTTTAGACGGTAGACCTAAATTTCCTGGTTAAAAATCTCGAGGAATTAATCCTTTAAATTTTTTTAGGTTGATTCATGGTGAGTTAGTATAATTAGCAAGTACTTAAATAGCATGTATGGTTGAATAGAAATGAAGGTTAAAAAATAGAATGTACAATAATAAAAAATAATGAAAATTTTTTTATTTACCAGTTGTCTCGAACATGACAGGATAAAATTATGTTGAATACAACGAGAAATGGTACAGGCGAATATACAATGATACTTTTCTCCTTTTCACTTGGTTTTTTTTTTTACTCTCTCCCTCTTTAACTTGTTCTACTGCTGCTGAATAGATTCTCTAATTTTTCTTGAAATTTCACGAGTATTTGCCACCTTTTGTTCCCAATGAAAATGAGATTTATATGGGTGTTATAGAAGTTGAGGATGTATAGAAAAGTGAAGAAAATGAAATAAAAATGGGTGAAATGATAGCGGAAACTGATGAGCTCGACAGCTTCCTACGGCGTCGAGCATTTTGTTTCACACGAACAACACAAGAGAAAGGGAAAAAAAGAAAACAAGATCGTATTTATATTAAAACAAATAACAAACACATTTCACAGTTTGCTTTTTTTTTCATACTCATTCGTTTAAATTTTTGCGAATATTTTCGCTCTCCAAATGAGCCAAATAGAACAATTGATCCTTTTCACTCAAAAATAAATATCATGTTATTTCTAATTAAAAGTCCAACTCTTAATTTATTTTTTTTTTCATTAATCTCAAGAATTTTCATTCAATTCTCTTTGTCATATGAGATAAACAAAAAGCATATAAATTTCAATCTTATCTAGAAAAATTTAATGAAAGATATGATATTATTATCATAACTTCTTATGAACAGACAAAAAGATTGAATTCTTTATCACGAATGAAGAATAAAATTGTTTTAATTTAAATAACTAAATTTACTGGGGTTCTCTAAGTGTGAAGATCCATTAAAATCAAGTACAGTTAATTTCCGATCAAAGCCAATACTTTTGTTATCACTTGGTGATGAAATGTAAAAATATGGACTCTTAAAAGCAGATTTGCATATATTTGGTTTTCCACGAATAATTTCAGTTCTATATAAATATAATAGGATAATCGATTCTTAGAATTTGAAAATAAACTCGTGGAGATATTTTTAATTGTACCTGTGATCAATAACGACCTACTATTTCAATATGACTGAGATATTCAGAGTGAAGGATCGTTGAAGCCTCTAAGAAGGTGAATGGTTTAAATCGTCGTACGTTAATCACTGATCCTGGAGTTGTGCTGCATTGAATGAAAGATGAGAGAATCATGCAACCTGAATCCTTGGATTATAAAGATTAATTAACGGCAGAACTTGAAAGCAAATTTCAATCAACGAATTAACTCCTTTAAATAGAATAATAATTCCCACAATTATCAACTATCCTTAAACAAATTATCTAGAGCCCTTGAGATTTATTTTTTTTTTCTATTCGATTTTTATAAGTCTCAATATAATTTTTAACTAATTTTCAACCACTTCTCTTTATCGATAAGCTCTTGCTAAAGTTTGCTTGCTGATAACTCTAGGCACCAGCACTTATCTTTATAATCTTTTTTTTTTCCTATCATAATTAAAAAGAACTTTCAATCAATTTTTCTGATAACGATGATTCTAAAAGTTTAACAATAAATGCTGACGACAAGAATTTATTAACTTTCAAACATTTTTCAATTGTTTTCAAGCACATTGAATTATTATTTAAATTATTCAAGTTGTATCCAACTTTATTTCTTTTTAAATATTTTTCCACCACAAATTTATTTTTCCAATATCTAAGTAAATATCTTTAAATTGGAATTGATAGTTATAAAAAAAGAAAAACATTAATTGATAATTAGTTTAATGAACTGCATTAATTATAAGAGGAGAATAATGCCAGAATGACGATTGATATATCTATAAAAAATTTAAGTCTTCTTAGTATTCTAAAAATAAAAACATTAAATTTTTTATATTTTATTCAAATGATAATTAATAATCTTTCATTGAATATTGATAATAATAATTAATAATAATACATGATGATTAGTTGATGAATAGCTAATTGAATCAAAAATGAATGATGATGTAAAAATAATCCAATGTAATTTATTCATTAATGAATATATTTTGTAAGAATTGATATAAAAAATAATAAAAACTAAAAATTATGTTCAACACAGTTAAATGCATGTGTCTCTTTGAAAGTGTAGATGAAGAAAGTAGAACTAGTCACAGCAACTACTAGCTAATTACAGAGAAGGTGGAAACAGAGGTGTAGGATAATCACAGACACAAGCTGTCCTCCTAACGAGCCACTACTTTGCTAGTCCTAATCTCTTTTCACTGGATCAATAACGTAAACTCTTTGACATAGTTACTGCTTACTAGTTTAAACCTTCAGTCCAATTAACTAATGCGATAATGTGTTCATTACATTAATTGATTTTTGGCAATCAAAGTATGTATGTATTACCTCACATCACTCCATCTATTTCATTAATTACTGGTTAACAATAGCTCTTGCAGTCAGGATAATATTGTTTATATTTTAATTATTGGTTATACCTCTAACCAACGTGACCAAAATTTATTATGAATGTCAAAATAATATCTCATAAATAACCTAATTTCATATTATTTAACCTCTAGGTACTAATGAAAAGCTCATAAATCCATGTCAAATTAGATATTGTTTGGTTTAGCATCAATACAAATAGTTGATGTAAAAATCCACACAGTAAATCAATCGGATATTTTTACTTATGTTAATGAGGACAAAGTCATTTAGTGAGTTTCTTGATGGAATGAGGGACTAAGAGTTGAACATTTTTGCTGGAAACTTCGTCACCATTAGTACTCACGTACGTATTCAAGGTTCGTGTGCCGGACGTGCTCGAGACTAGAGAATAGAAAAAAGTGAAGAGGTTGCTAAGCAAAAAATAGTCAAGAAAAGAAAGAAATATTATATTAAACTAGGGGGTTGTAAAAAACTTGTGCAATATATTTTTTTGGATAAATTATTTGTGTGATTTGTTCTTATTGAAATGATGGTCGTTGCCAATGTACTTCACCGGATAGCAATCAATAATTTTTTTTGAAAATAGAATCATTCAGCTGTATTGTAATCGACGAAGCTTTTAGAAAGAGGGAGCCCAGAACAAGATAGACTTCTTGAGGATCTTATTGGATTATGGAGAATACTTCATTCTATTAAATTAATAAGATAGAGAGAAAACGCTGAATAGAATAATTTTGTTATATATTTCATAAAATAGTAGATACTAATCAGATCCTTGATACAATTGCATGATAATTATTTCTATCATTGATTCAATTGAATCAGTTACATTATTTTATCAAAACTCACTAAATCCAGTTGGATCTAATTCTACATCTCACAAAGGCTGCTTGGATCAACTAGGATTTGATAGCAAATTTTATGACAACTATCTAGATACAATTGAACTTGACATTTCTCTTAGAGAAAAAGTAGATAATAATAAAATTTTATCATTAATTTTTGCTGATATGAATTTCTCAGCTGAAATTACTTTTTCAATCACAACATACTTATTATAAATAACAATAAATATAAATACTCATTAGTAAATGTGTGTGAATAAGTTTTTTACTTTTCAAAGTTTTAATTAGGAATTTTTTCTGTTTTTAAGTAAATTTTGAACATAATTTTTATTACTATGTTCTAATCATATGCACTCTTTTTTGTGTTTTCTAACAGCGTAGTCTTATAATATAAACACATGAAGACACGTGGAATATGAAAATATATTAAATATAGAGTTTTTAATAAAAGTTTCACATTTTTATAAAAAGAATAGAATGAAGAAAAAAATTTTTTGATGTTTGTTAAATTAAGTTAAACAGGTTGGAAAGTCATAGTCAGTCCATATAATATTCATATAATCTTCATTTACAGCAGTTCGCATATTTCAAGATTATATGAACTTTAAATGGACTTTAGATATAAAATTTTTTATAATTTTACGATTTATTATTATGACATTCATTACTGAGAATTTTTTCATTTTATTCTCGACTTTATCTTGCTCATAAAAAATTTTAAAACAATAAAGGAGGCTGAGCATAGAAAAAAAAATCCAATGAAAGTATCTATTCAAGTTGCCTTGAAGCATTTTTCACATATTTTTCGACTTTGATTATTATAATAATTTTTATTCCTACTTCTTATCTTTCTCTTGTGTTCTTTACTACACATATCAAATATTCTTGGCATATCTTGCTCATCAACTATCTATCAATACGTATCTGGTATTTAACCACCCTATAAATATTAAATTTATTTCTTAAGAATAGTAGTTAGGAGACAACAAGCTTGATTAAAATGTCAGATGATACTAGACTATATTCCTATTTGAGTTATGACGACAAAGCATTGACAAACGTTGATGCAAGGAGGTAGATATTGAATCACGTAAATGTACATTAATTATCTGGTAGTCATCTAACTGCGACTAATTTATCTGTCTCAAGCATAGGTTTATGTCAGATTTCTCTGAAGCCAACAAGATATACTCAAACTGTTCTCCAAGTTGCCCAACACAGATGCAAACTAATAAAGGTCAATTATTGACATTTCTACGGATTAATAATTCATCGAGGAACAGCTAATTTTACCAACAAAAATAAACCAACTATTTCCGAACATAATCTATGAAGCCAATAAAAGATTAATTATTCCATGAAAGTGATCCAGCTCAAGATCTTCAACACTTTGGAACGTTTTTCACCAATAAATTCCACCTTTTGTTTATGAAAATCGACCTGGAATATTTTATTACTGTATAACCAAGACGATAAAGTGAATTTCAAATGAGATTTTCAAGTTACTGTTTTATTTATAACATAACTAAAGGTTTCATTCCATAGTAATCATGGAATAATTTAAATAAGTTCTCGACAAAAATAAGATCTTTTTTTTTTCTATCAAATCTATTGGTATTGATGGTGAAAACAATAAAGTACTCAGACTGAATTTCAAATGTGCAAATTATTTCAAGTAGTAGTGAAAGTGTAACTTAATCAATGCATCGAAGTGCAAACCTTCTCACTTCATGTAATTACTTTGCCAAATAATTATAGACCTGGAATGCAATTAAGTATAAATTATTTCGTAAAAATAATTATGACAAAATATCAATTAAAACTTAAACTTGATTATTTCTTGAATGATAATTGGTCAAATTAATGATTCTAGTTGAATCAAAAAAGAATTTGGTTGATTGATCTGAAAGGGTGATAAAGAAAAAGGACGATTTTCAATTACATCATAATTTCCATTTAATATGCAGCAAGTTGTAAGAAGAGACGTGTTGAATTAGTTGCAAATAAAATGGATAAAATCTGAATGAAAATGACAGTTTTAGAAAATTACCGTCATTTGAAGATTGTTGAAGATATACCTGAGAGCATTTGCAATGAAGTTATGTGTAGAATTGTAAAAGTTAGTTACATTCTTCGGCATTCTGTCTCTTGTTCCCTCGGGCAATAAGGTTTGAAGTGAATTGAAAGCCGAATTCAACCTGGCGGCTCTTCCCCAACTATAGATTACTTTTCGATTCAACTGCGCCGGCCCAGTTTCAATCTTGACTACGTTTTCCTTCGAGACTGAGTCGAAAACTTGGAGCCACAGAAGCGATCCGAATCTCTTAATGCTAATGTCAGTAGGATGAGAATTGAGAAGGAAAGGAAAGAAGAAAAGGTTAGAAAGGAAAAAAGCATCATCTCTTCACCCTTCAGTTATACTACTGGATTTCACGACGATTTAAAAACTTTCAATCCACCGAGTGTTCACAAATTTGATCGGTCTTTATGTGGGTTAAAGTGAAAAAAAATGGAAATTAAGATTAAGAAGAAGCTAAGGAACTCGAGATACGTTTTTTTTCTCGTTTTATATATCTATAGGAATACGTTAACAGCGTTAGTAGTCGACGCAAAGGGGGTTGTAAGTACGCGCGAATCGACACTATTTGCATTTTAGCACCAGTACGTCGTTTGGATTGCGATAGGACTTGTCTTCGTCGTTCTTATATTCCTTGATCCAAGCTACTTCTTGTCATTCTCGTACCCCTGTCTCCATAAAAGTAAGCAATTCAGTAGTATTTTCTACGTTGCTAAATTGGATTGGCAGTTTATTGCCAATATTTGTTTGTTTCGTGACTAAGAAGGATTTTGTATACACAGCTTCAGATTTGCCATCGACAAAATTCGTGCCCAATTCTTCTTCGTATGAAGCAAATGATGGCCCAGTTCTATTTGCAAAAATGATCTTTCAACTGGTTAAGGGGATCAGGGTGCCAAGCTTGTGAAAAGAACCATTTTTTGTGTGTCTGAATGTAAAAAAATCACGACAACTGTAACAAAGTTGTTTTTTTATTTTTTTTTCAAATGTACGATCGTTATTGTCAATCCTGGATTTGATAAAATTTACATGAATTTCTTTTTGACTTTGAATGACATTTTTTAATGGTTTCAATCACAATGAAAGACATGTTTTAATATTTTAACGCTGTAATAAATACTTTAATCAAAATGAAAACTTATGAATGTTGAAATATTTTCATCCAATTGAATATTTACATAAAAGTACTTTTGAAATTTTTTTTAAATAGATTCTGATCGTTTTTATTCAATTACTAATTGATGGTAACAACGATATAAATAAATGGAAATAAACTAAAAATTATCGAAGCTAATTTAATTAAAAACTTTTTTTATACTTGACATTTTTTTGTTGAAAAACAATTCCAGAATAGATTGATTAAAAAAAAAAAACAAAATTGTTTCAATTTTTTAGTTTTCCAAAATCACGTATTAAAATAGAAACATGTAGTCTACAATTTTCGATAAAATGTACAACTGTAAAAAAATCTTAAAACTCAGTGGTCTATATTCGGGAAGTTTACCCTACATACAAGTTAAGTTCTCCCGAGGTAATGTGTGAGCGTAAATAATTTATTACGCTTGAGGGTTGACATTATTACATTTCTCCTGAAATTGTCGAAGAAAATAGTGATTTTGTTAAAGACATTTTTTCTCTACTTCCTCTTTAAATTTTTCGTATTTGCCTTATATTCTTTAGCAGAACTATTTTTATCTTTTCACCATTCTTGAAATACAAGCCAAGAGGATGACGCACTAGAAGTCATATTTCTGAGTCTAGACGGAGTTTAGTTTTTGCCTTTGCTGATGTTTTTGTCCGACTAAAGCAATACGCACAATATTCTGTATCTCTCAGCTTTTTTCCTTCGCTGCATGATGGTACAAAATAGCTGGCATGGTCATCTTTCAACATAATATACATTTATAAAAAGCAATATTAGTTTTTATCTCCAACTATTCGATTTGAACAATTTACCTAAAGTACCTCAAGCTTTCATCTTGGTATATACCAAGTTTTTTTTTAATATATTTTTAACGTACACCCATTTGCTTTTACCCTTTTTCTGTCGGTGATTATGCTCGTGTATTCCAGAGCTAACGATAGAAAAGGAAAATAAAGATTACACAGGAAAAAAGCCACCAAGTTCCTGCATAGTCTCCAACCTTACCATGTCATAAGTGCGTATATTTAAGTGGAATTATCGATAAAGTGAATTGATAGGTATAGAGAATTCAGTCTGCAATTACTGTTCAATTATAATATATACGATAGCTAATCAATTCGATTAATCGGCTAACTACAGTGGTCAAACTCACCAGGTCGAGATCTTAACCAATCCGTTGGAAACATCTATAATTTCAATTACACTATGAAAACTCAATTCTAAAGCAAAGGTAATTGACAAAAGTTTATGATTTTGTTATGTGGTGAACTTACTTGATAAAGTCATCAACTTTTTTGTTCTTATCCAGTTGAAATAGAAGATTAAATCTTTACTAGTTAAATAAAATAATAATATGGTAACTGTCAGGAAAAGAAATTTTTCAGAGTTGTCAGGAAGGACAAAAAGACAACGAAAATAAGGAGAGTGTCTTTCAATTTAGTATAAAGAGCGAGTTTGTGCAGCACCCGGAAAATAAGTGCATGAGAAAGAAGAACATTTTTCTCTTTCCATTAGATCATTCATTTTCTTAAGGCATATTTTGAAGCTTTAAAAGAAATTTTATGAATATTATAATTAGAACACAGTCTACATGATGAAACTTGGCAGCTTTATTATATTGTCATGATTCAATTAAGATGATAAATTAAATGATAAAATCATTTTCTCACTTTTAATGTTGATTCACTTGAAAGTTTTAAGAATCAATACCTTCAGCTGATTATATAAACACCCACTCAGCTTTCCATTATACACTTATATACTATAAAATCACTCGAGTTGAGGTCTATATCGTCAAGAAATTTGAAAAGGGGGTTACTTATTTTCATGAAATATCTCTCAAGTGAGTTTCCAATTTTCCACCTTTTTGTCCAGTTTAAGATGGAAACGGATCCAATTTGCTAAGGTTACACTCCTCCCTTGGGAAGGTTCATCACTGTCCCTTTGTCGAGTTTATCTCATCCTTCTCTTTTAATGCAGAGAAAAATGTCGTTTGCTTTTGATATTTATCTATTATATTTTCGTATATTTTAATTCAAACGATTATTATAAAATCATATGATGAGAAAAAAAAATTATAAATTAAATAATTAATTGAATTCTCTATTAATTAATCTATATTTTCATTGGTATTTTAGTTAATTATATTAAGTCAACGATTATGCCTGAATTCCTTTCATTTGATTGTTGATAATCAATATCGTAAAATCAAATTTCATGGTATACTGCAATAGTAAATTTATCATTAATACAAAATATTCAGCGATAATAAATATTGATACTAATGAGTGAATGTTTTTGATCATTTTGTTTATTTAAGTATTCAAATCAAATTAATCAATTGGTTGTAGAGCAGAGAGATTTCTAGGTAATTTTGAAACAAGTAAATGGTTTCATTATCTATTTTTACGTTAAAGTTAGTTTTATTTTTTATTAATGTAACTTTATGTTCAATTTGCTGTAGATTGTATAAAAAAATGCACCACATATTTTTTATTCAGTACATGCAGTACAGGAAGTTTCGTTCAACAACATTTTTCTCGCGAGTAGAATGTTAATAATTGCTACTTTAATTGTTGGAGAGAAATTTTTTTTATTTCACTAGTTTAACAAACCTTTGAATCGATAAAAAGAATATTATTTAATATATTTAATTTAAATTATGATAAAAAATTACTGAATTTTTTTCTTTGTTCCTTTGTTAAATTTTTTTTAATCTCAAAGAAAAACTTTAATTAAAAACTTTTGCAAAATAAATATTAAATAAAAAGCAAATCAATTTTAATTCTTTATACAATAAAATTTAGATGAGATTTTTTAAAATTATTTTTTCTTTTCTGAATATGCCAAATTTAATATCCGCCATTTGAGTGAAATGAAAATAAAAAATAATTACAGGTGTCTTGGATGCGTCAACGTGACATGCATATCCTGAGTGCTGGCGTTTCGACGTACACATCCGACCTCAGATTCCAAGTCATCCATCCGGACAAGTCCGAGAATTGGACACTGCAGATAAAGTCGCCGCAGGAACGAGATTCTGGCGTCTACGAATGCCAAGTCAGCACAGAACCGAAGATGTTCCTCAACTATACTCTCAACGTGGTCGGTGAGTGCGCCTTGAATAATTCAATCCTCTGTCAGAGTGAGTGAGAGGGACTGGAAGTACTCATAAATCTATCTAACGTTGACGGAGTCGATTTTTATACCAGAGAGATACTTTTTGTTGTTTGATAACACTTTTTGTAATGAGTCTGTAATGTTGAAAAACATGGAAACCTACTCGTATCATTACTCTTTCATAGGGAATTTTATGAAAAATTTATCTCAACATCACATTAACTGTCCGCATCTGTTATCATATTTGATTTTTAAAAAATATATTAACATACATTCTCACCATTCAGTTGATTCATTAAAATATTTCAAGTAATTCATTTTACAAAAATATGCTTCCATAAAATTTTCCCTCTAAAATTATCCCGAAAAAAAATAACATCCATTTTTTATCAGATGAAATATTCAACTTCTACTTTTAGTCCTTGAAATGTTCAGATGGTTTATAAAAAGAATTTTGTATTTTAAACATAAACAGACTGCAGCTTTCAGCATCTCCAAGACTTTCCACATCTGCAAAGGATTTTTAGAAAATTCCCTCGAGTCCTTGTCTCAACTGGAGAACAACGATTTATTCTGTGACTTTGTTCGGTCGCACATACACATTTATACATAGACTCAACAGACAGCACAAATATCACTGTGTTACTTCTTGTGCGCTCGACTCTGAAACTCTGCACTTGACCGCACTTCTGTTATCATCACACCTCGGTCATTCCACCCAAAGTGTGCCAAGTATAACAAAGTGTCTATCTCATTACCGTCGAAACCTGATGATCTCTTCATTTCGTCGTCTGCAAGAAAACTACAGGGGATGATAGAGTGTAACAGAAATCCCGATAATAGACGACTTTCCATTAAGAACTTCACGTGTCTAGACTCCAACTACGTAGATATCTAAAATCCAGATGCTGTCGAGCTATTTTTCAACATAAAAAACAAACGAGCATGTCTTTCAAATTTTACTCTACATACTTACTAACATAGGTACATGAATTATGAAAAAAAAAGTAAACCTATTCCGGGGTACGAGCTTTTTTGGTAATTTTTAAAAAGCCCAGGAGTGTTGGAGAAGTGGAGATACTTTCGTCCAAGCACAAACACCAAACGGAACTCAGATATAAAGATTCTAGATCTTAAGAGCAGGTCAAACCATAACTTCTTGTTTTCTCGAGAAAAGTTGCCACACTTAAGTACAGTCTAAGTGCACATTGGATGCAAGATTGTGAAAACAAAGTCTCTCGCGTTTGATATCAACTTCACAATCTACTTCAAGTGTTTAAATAAAGAGGAAAATATAATTTTCTTTCTTTAATACCCAGGATGGAATTCCATGAGTGAATAAATTCATGTTACTTCATGTGAATTAATGATCTAACACTCTAGTGTATCAGGAACAACTAAATGTATCAAAACAATTTGAAAGACATAAATAAGTAATTTAATAATGTGATGTATTTTGCCAATAATATGGTGATGTTATGTGAACATCAATTTTAATGAGCCTCAATGGCCAATTCAACTGCCATTATTTCATAAATATACCTTAAGCAGCCAGTAAAATAGAATAATTATTACGCAATACATCCCATTTCTAGGGATATGTAAACTTTATATGTCATTTATTTTGCACACCAATATGATTATAGTAATTATGATTTTCATAGATTACTCGTAATTTTAATTTTACGATACACGCTACAATAAATAATGCAATTATTTACACACGTGTAAAGAGAAATAAAAATATTGTCGCAATTGGGCTTAATATAATAGCATTATTAATTTTAATTCGGCCGAACATGATGCGACTAAAATATTCTATTGTAATTTTTTTTTTAGATTTGATAAATTTATTCACAATCAAATTCGGTATGGAATGAATATTTAGAATCAATGAAAAATATTACAGTATAAAAAATTTCCGTTCCCCAAATGATCCCCAGTAGAAAAGTTCCTCGACGTTGCCCTCATGGGACTATGGGGAACACGTTTGGGGTCCAAATTTTTTTTTTTTTTTCTGAAAATTGTTCCTCTCTACTCTAATTAAAGCAAGTTCCCGTTTTACCCCATTTTAGGAGTGAAATAATTAATTTTTCTAATGTTTGACCTGATTCCGCATTTCTAGGCATTAAGACGAAGAGAATGAGTGGTCGAACTTGAAAATCGGACAACTTTGATTTTTCGACCCCTAAAAGTGGCAAGTGGTACCCCTTTCCATTTTTTTTGGCCAAAAAATAAAAGTTCTCCGATTTTCAAGTTTGACCACTCATTCTCTTCGTCTTGATGCGTAGAAATGCGGAATCGGGGCACCGCCTAAAAAAATTTACTTTAACACCCTCAAAATGGGGTAAAACTGGATACACATTAAAAATAATCATCCCCTTAGCTTCAAACCCTTATAACTCATGAACGAACGGTTTAATGATCATTTTTAGGAACGTTTTAGAAATCTTAGAATCCAGGCTAAATATCTATATTCATGAAAAATGTTTAAAAAATTTCTTTCACCCTTAAAATCGCTAAAATATAAAAAAAATCACATTTTTTAGGGAGTTTGCCAACTTTTTTGGCGATTTTAAGGGTGAAATAAATTTTTTGAACAATTTTCATGGATATGGATCTTTAGCTAAGATTCTGAAGTTTCCAAATATCTCTTAAAAATCATTGTCGGATAATTTTTTCACGAGTTATCGAGATCCAAGTCGAAGGGTAGATGATTTTTTGACCCTTACTCCGACTTTGGACCTCGATAACTCGTGAAAAAATTATCCGACAATGATTTTTAAGAGATATTTGGAAACTTCAGAATCTTAGCTAAAGATCCATATCCATGAAAATTGTTCAAAAAATTTATTTCACCCTTAAAATCGCCAAAAAAGTTGGCAAACTCCCTAAAAAATGTGATTTTTTTTATATTTTAGCGATTTTAAGGGTGAAAGAAATTTTTTAAACATTTTTCATGAATATAGATATTTAGCCTGGATTCTAAGATTTCTAAAACGTTCCTAAAAATGATCATTAAACCGTTCGTTCATGAGTTATAAGGGTTTGAAGCTAAGGGGATGATTATTTTTAATGTGTATCCAGTTTTACCCCATTTTGAGGGTGTTAAAGTAAATTTTTTTAGGCGGTGCCCCGATTCCGCATTTCTACGCATCAAGACGAAGAGAATGAGTGGCCAAACTTGAAAATCGGAGAACTTTTATTTTTTGGCCAAAAAAAATGGAAAGGGGTACCACTTGCCATTTTTTGGGGTCGAAAAATCAAAGTTGTCCGATTTTCAAGTTCGACCACTCATTCTCTTCGTCTTAATGCCTAGAAATGCGGAATCAGGTCAAACATTAGAAAAATTAATTATTTCACTCCTAAAATGGGGTAAAACGAGAACTTGCTTTCATTAGAGTAGAGAGGAACAATTTCCAGAGAAAAAAAAAAATTTCGTACCTCAAACGTGTTTCCCATAGTCCCAAGAGGGCAACGTCGGGAAACTAAATTTTCTTATACGGAATTCATTTTCCACAGGTATTTTTTGACAAGCGGAGAAAATATTTAACGATGAATTGATTGTTGAGGATAAATTATTCAGTTTCGTTTCGTTATATTTAGTATTATCAAATCTTTGTAAGGAACGAAAAAAGAAATAATTTTTTACAAGTGGATTGTTTTTTATAATTCAACGATCTTTATTATGACCTGAAAATATTTAAATAAAGGACTTTATTGGAAATTTCATTTCTACGTCATTGAAAGTGAGTTGTCAGTCTCTCTTTCATAGATTCAATTTACTTCAGATCCAAGTTCAATTTAGTTCAGTCTCACAGACTAAAAGTTCCTGTATTTATTTCAAATATAAAAATACACACGAGTTTTAACTACTTTAAAAATATTTGAAATTAAATTTTTATAAAACATTTCTAAACCTTGACAAAAAATTTTTTTATTTGTGTTTCAGTTCACAAAAATTTCCAGCAATTTTTAGAAATTACTATAGAAATGAAATATCTGTCATCAGAGTGTTGTAAATAAATAAAAAAATTCTATAAATTGATTGCATTTTTTGTTCAAAAATTTCAATGGTAAAGAATCTAGAAATAAATTTTAGTTCCTAGGGCGATTTTTGAATGCACTGAGTGCTCATTTAAGTTACGATAGCAAGAACTGAATGTCTGTCGATAAATTCAAGACTGACACTAGAGCATTGGAAAGAATAAAGAAATGTTTGCTTGAAAATGGCAAGATAAAGAACAAGGGTTGATTACTGCTTTTTACAATCAAGGTGATAAGGAATGAAAATATTTATTTTCTTATCTCAGAGATATTGTCATCACGACCTCGTTAAAAACAACGCTAAAAAATAAAATGAAGTAAAGGCTTAAGAAGTGTAGTTCATCGTACTTAAAAATGCTGATGTAACGATGCCTTCTCCAAAATTCAACGACGATTAACGAGGCAAAGGAGAGAAGCCACTTTACTCAACCGCGAGTTTCTCGATTACAACATTTAAGATCGAGGAGTTTGGATGTAGGCCAACTAGAACTCATATCTCTTCTATTTGGTGATAGTTTTATTTTATTTTCATTCTTCTTCAACATCTTTGCTATTGTATTTTGCTCACAATTTCGTTGATGAAATTTAAATTGTATCGGTATGCCAATTCATTCAAGCTTATGACTTTCCATTATTGGTAAAAGATATCTGGAAGGTTAAAATTTAATATTTTTGGTGTAGTGAATTTTTTTGATTTGTCATAATGATACGTAGGAAGTGGAGAAAAATTTTATATATTGAAAATAATATGATAAAAAAGAGGAAAAAAAAAGAATCGAAAGAAATTCAATCGTTAATGTCATCATTTCGTAGACCACTCAATCAGTCGCAACGCAATATCACCCGAACGTCTCGTATAATGAAATAAAGTGGGAGAAAAATTTTTTCCATGAGAAAGATTCGAGATAAAAGTAAAAATATTCCCTAACGGTGTGTTTTTAT